GTATGGTCATTTTCCTTGTTTCAGGTATGGCAATGAATTTATTATTAATATAAAGTATTTCATGTCCAATTTGGCTTTAACTTGTTCACATATTGATTTATTAAGATAATTTTATTACATTTGTTGTATGTCCGCAACAAGTAACGAAATCAGAAGTGAGGAAAGAAAATGGTTGCTAGTGAATGCTAGTCATCATACATTTTACAAGTCTATGCAGTCAAGGTATTTTTTATTTGTATGTGGTCTGTAGGTGAAGGGTCAAGCATAAATCAATATTGTTTTAAACCAAATCTCTTATGCATCTTAGGACAAGTACAACATATGAAAACACACAATCCTAGATAGTCAGGTTCAAGCAAGTCATCATATGTAAAAGGGGAATGTAAGTGATAAGCTCAGGCATCAATACTGTATTAGGTATTACATTTTTTTGACATTTCTTTATTATAGGACAAGTACAACATATGAAAACACACACTCCTAGTCAGGTTCAAGCAAGTCATCACATGTAAAAGGGGAATGTAAGTAGGTACTTTGTAATTATGTGATCTGTAGATGAAAGCTCAGGCATRAATACTGTATTCAATATTAATATTGTTTTAATTTCTTTTATTATATGACAGGTACGATGTATGAAAGTTACACACAATCTTAGGCAGGTTCAAACCAAGTCATCACATGTAAAAGGGAAATGTGGGTATGCACTGTGTAACTAAGTGGTCTGTAGATGAAAGCTCAAATTTAAAGAAATGATTTTCAGTATTACAACTTTGTTCAATCTCTTGTATTGTAGCACAAGCGTATGGAAAACACAATTTTCTGCAGTTCCAAGCATAGTCATCATATATAAAAGGGAAATGTAAGTATATACTGTGTGACTAAGTGGTCTGTAAGTGAAATCTCATAAACAATGTATTGAGTAGTAAGCTTTTATTTGCGCAGTGGTATGTGGACAAGTACAACAAATAAAAATAGATTATCCAATATGATAAAAATCACCATATTTTTCAGGTTTTCAGAAAGTATTACAGGAAAGCACAAGACACATGTCACTTCAGATTTAATAACAAGTATAAATTTAATAATTACACATGATAGATAATAATTACTAAACCTTAAATCCCCAAAGGTTTTGTCACAGCATTAGTTGGGGCTACACGTTTCCTGTTTTATCCACAATTGGTTTCAGGTTTTTCGTGTCTGGCTGTGACATTGAATGCATGTAATACCTCATAATATCCATGTAACTAAAATTATTTTATTTGAAATGTTTTTATGAGAAATGCAAAATGTAGGTATTTAATAGTACAAATAATTTATAATAGTACAAATTATATTTGCAATAAATGTGATATTTAATAAACAATTATGTTTGCATTTACTCGGTTGGTAGTCCTGGAGGTCATTAATGAGCTGACTGGCGTCAGACATCTTTACTTCAACCATCTGACGTTCCTATGCGAAGATATTGCTCATAAACAGAGGAACAACCGGCCGAATTTAGATGATTTGAAGAAATACATAACGAAAACGCCTTATAAGAAAAAGTTTAGACAGGGTAACCCATCGCATCGCGAATGGTTTTCCCGCCTTTTTTATGGCGCGAAATGGGCGCGCGCGACACAAAACGAAGACGCAACTTTAACTCTTTTTCAATGAAATATGGTAGGAATAGGTTTACTTTTTATTGATCGCATAATAGACAAATTACTGCTCACCCCTTTTTGGTCACGTAAAAGCCTTACAATGATACACAGTATAACTGTTGCCATGAAAACGTTTAGACAGGGTAACCTAGCGCATCGCGAATGGTTTTCCCGCCTTTTTTATGGCGCGAAATGGGCGCGCGCGCGACACAAAACGAGAAGACGCAACTTGGTCTCACTCTGTTTCAATGAAACACGGTGAGGGGTAGGTTTATTTTTTACTGTGCAMATATTAGACAAATTACTGCCCACCCCTGTTTGGTCATTCTTTTACAACGGGCTATCATTTCAGTACTCAGCCCCCCGTGGGTACCCACATTCAAAGAAGGTTGCATTAAGACTGTGATGACCGAAACATAAGATATAGCCTGTAAATTATTTGATACGTGAAGATTTCAACTGGCCGGAAAAAAAATGAAGCTGTCTTAGCAAAATAACATTGAACTAACCTTTTGCCATTTTATAGCATGTCTTCCCGTGTTGCAATTGCTTTTCAATTATTTTTTATCTTCTCTTTTCAGGTTTCGCGAATATAAGCTTAATTCTTAAAAGAGACATTTACATTTACATTTACATTTACAGCGTGATGTCGAAAGAAAAGGGAGTAAGTCTTTTTTGTGWTAAACTTAGTCAATTTATATCTCATAAATAAGCTTAAGCTTAAGCCGAATTTCGAATTTTCTTTCTGATGTTCGATAATATTTCACAGCTGATAAACCCTTWATCTGTTTTCAGGAGRGGCATACTGACATGGACATTTCAGGAGATTGTAAGTACAATTCAGGAAATATTTAAGTAAGCTCAAGCTTATTTACTTAAGCTTACATGTATTGTAAGCTGGGAACACGCTACTCACGCTTTGTTTTCTCTCGTTTCTGCCGTTTGTTTCTATGAAACAGCGAAAGATAATAACCACGACAAGGAAGAGTCAAACTGTAAGTATAAAAATATGAACATGATATGCAATTGGTCGAGTATTTGAGCTAATTAAACCAATCTCTTTTTGGCAGCTTCAAGCCATAAATCAAAGAAATGTAAGTATGAGATGGTCTGCATTTAATTGAATTTAAGTTTGCCATGTTCCTGTTCTTCTTTCGCTCCCTYATTTAAGCTTACACCTTCTTTTTTCCTTTGTTGAATCAGCGAGTCGTGATCATAAAGAGGGGTGTAAGTATGAAACCATTTTAGTACATGCATTGTAGCACTGTACTTGCTCRACTAACTCATTGTGTTTGTATATTATAATTWCCAATTGACAGTGAGAGAAAAGCCGTCGGACCGATGTAAGTGTGGAATGCTTTAATTGYGAGTCATGCTTTGAATTATTTTTCCTCATCTTTTTTTCGTTTCTTTTTGCTCAATCAGTTCATAAGACACAAGATGAGCATAACTGT